CTGCTCAGCTGGCTCTGGCCTGCTCCATATTCCCCGCCTAGCCCACCCCACCATTGGCGGTTGAGTGTTCAGCCTTTCTGCCCCGACTCCTTGGAACTCCATCCAATAAAACCTTCACCTTGCCCCCTCCCTTGTCTCCTTCAAGACCCGATTCAAGACCCTCCTCTTCAACTGTGCCTTCGGCCACCCTCCCACCCTGCCCTGCAACCCATCTTGATACCAACCCCCAGCTCGGTTCTAAATCCTTGACTGTCCAGTGGCTTGGGACATCCTCCTGATGTAAAAGGTGCAATACAAATGTAATTTGTTGTTGTGTTTGTAACAGCTTTGCACGAACATTCAATCTTTGCAAAATAAAAACGGTTCCCTCATCATTTTTCTTGGTGAAACAAGGAGCACAGGCTAAACCCAGCATCGATGACCAATGCTTTAAATGCCTAGCGTCTATCTTTGTGGATGTTTGTACATTAAGAGCAAACATGTAAATAGGAGACAATGATCAGAGAGGACTGTCTGGAAACTTATTTGAAACTAATAATAATAATAGGAATAATAATCCTTGCATTTGATATAGCGCCTTATCGCAGCTTCGACACGTCGCAAAGTGCTTCACAGAATATACTGTAAAGTGAATTGACTGTATGTTTTTTTAACAAAGAAAACTCACTAAATGCTGAGCTCATTCTTAAGACTTCCTTGTTAGAACCATTTCAAATCTAGACTCAACTGAACTATTTTGTGATGTGCTGGTGGAGGATAAAGCAGCTGTACAATGGGAAGGATCCTTCACAAGCTGAAGAATCAAAGATAACAGTAGACTTACTGGCTCACTGTATCCAGCCCAATAGTGATCAAACACACCAGTGGAGATGAGAAATTGATACAACGTTGCACCAAAATGTTGATAAATGATTTTCTTTTGATATAATAATTATAGCGCCTTATCACGTCTTCAAGAAATCTCAAAGTGCTTCACAGAATATACTGATACTCACATCAGAGCCCACCATGGTCCTGTTGGGTTGGCTGCCCCAGCCCCAGCAATAATGTTTCCATCCACCTGACCGCTCGCTCGCTCCCGGTCCCCGCGTGCGCACTATGGCTGCCGCTATGACCCGAGCCCCCTCACCCCCTCCCTCCCTCCTCCCTCCTCTCTACCCCCAAACCCTCCCCCCTCTGCATCTCTCCCACTCTGTCCTCCTCTCTCTCCGTTCCTCTCGCCTTCTATCCCCACTTGACCCTCCTACAACCTCCCTCTGTTCCAGCCTGGGAATCCTCCGCCGGGCTCACCGTGGCACTCGGCGTTGGCTGTCCAGCAGCAGCCACACCGACTGCCCCATTCCCCACCACACTCGCCAGCCACCCCGGACACAGACCCGGGAAGCCAACCTCTCCTCCCTTATCCCCATTTCCCCCACCCCTGCCTCACAACCTGGACCCCCTCCCACGCACCCTTCTGTCAACCGCTCCCTCCACATCGGACTACAAAACGTCCGCTCCCTCTGTAACAAGGCCCTGGTCATCAACGATCTCATCCTTGATGAGAGCGTTGACATCATGGCCTTAACGGAAACCTGGCTCACCCCAGGTGACACCTTTCCCCTCACGGAAGCCACACCACCCGGCTACACCTCCCACCACATCTCTCTCCCAACTGCCGTGGCGGTGTTGCCCTTATCTCAAGGACACCACTTGCCCTATCCCCCTACTCCTCTGGCTCTTTCCCCTCTTTTGAGCACCTCACCCTCTCCCACCCCTCCTTCCTCTCACTTAAAATCCTCCTCCTCTACCGGCCCCCTAAAACCTCTCCCACCTTTATCTCCGATATTTCGACACTTCTTACATCTCTCTGCCTCTGCTCTGATCGCCTCATCATCCTGGGCGACTTCAACCTGCACTTCACCCCCTCCTGCTCCATCTCCTCAGATTTCTCTTCCCTGCTCTCCTCGCTCAACCTCTCCCTCCACATCAACTCCCCCACTCACAGTCACGGCCACCCACTCGACTTGGTGATCACCCGGGGCCTCAGTGTCTCGGATGTCACTATCACCGACAAGGCCGTCTCCGACCACCACTTCATCTCCTTCACCACCTCCACCCCCCTCCCCACCTCCACCAGACCCACCACCATCTTCTACCGCCCCTGGAAGAAGTTACCCCCACAATCCCTAACCGCTGCCTTGGAGTCCTCTGAACTCCTCTCCCTCTGGCCTTCAACCCTCACTGACCCCTCTTCTGCTCTCACCCTCCTCCACAACACCCTCTCCTCCACACTTGACACTCTTGCCCCCATCACCTCCCGTACTGTCTCCTACTCTCGCTCCTCCCCCTGGTTCACCACCCACCTCCGCTCACTGAAGAGCCAGGTGCGGGCCGCTGAACGCACCTGGTCAAATCTGGCCTAACGGTCCACCGACAAATCTGGCTGGACCTCCTCAAAATCTACCGCTCCACTCTAGCCTCGGCCAAATCGTCCTTCTACTCCAGGATAATCCTGGAGGCGAAGGACAACCCCAGGCTACTGTTCTCTACCACATCCCGACTCCTCCGTCCCCCCGCCACCCCGCGCAGGTCATCTCCTCCAACCTTCACTGCGAGGAGATGCTGGATTTCCTTGAATCCAAAATCAAGGGAATCCGCTCCGCGGTCACTTCCCCTCCAACATCCACCCACCCCCACCACCTCCCTCCCACACTCCGACTCCTACCCATCCTCCCCTACACACTTTCGTACCCGTTTCCCCACCCTCTGTCACCAAACTCATCCTATCCCTGAAACCCACCACCTGCTCCCTTGACCCCATCCCCACTCCACTCCTTATCTCCCAGCTCCACCTCCTTGCCCCACATATCACAGACATCGTCAACCTGTCCCTCTCCTCTGGCTCTGTTCCCATTCCCTTAAAAACTGCCACCATCACTCCCACCTTGAAAAAACCCTCCCTTGATGCGTCGCAGCTATCAAGCTACCGGCCCATCTCCAACCTCCCCTTCCTGTCCAAGGTCCTGGAACGAGTTGTCGCCTCCCAGCTGCGCTCTTTCCTCTCCACCCATTCATTATTCGAACCCCTTCAGTCGGGTTTCCGTGCTGCCCATAGCACAGAAACTGCCCTGGTCAAGGTCACCAATGACATCCTGACCATCTGTGACCAGGGCTCCCTCTGCCTCCTCGTCCTCCTCGACCTATCGGCAGCATTCGATACGGTCGACCATGCTATCCTCCTCCACCGCTTGTCCTCCCACCTCAACCTTCAAGGCCCTGTCCTTGAATGGTTTAGGTCGTACCTCTCCCACCGTCTTCACTTTGTCTCCACAAATGGTTTTTCCTCCCCCCCGCACTGTCTCGTGCGGTGTCCCTCAAGGCTCTGTCCTCGGTCCCCTCCTCTTCACCCTCTATATGCTCCCCCTTGGTGACATCATCCGCAGACATGGGGTTAACTTCCACATGTATGCGGATGACACCCAACTCTACCTTTCCTCCTCTACCCTCAACTCCACGACCACCGATGTCCTGACAGCTGCCTGTCCGACATCGAGTCCTGGACGAGAGACAACTTTCTTCAGCTCAACGTGCGAAAACTGAGGCCCTCCTGATTGGCTCACGTCAGCGCCTCCGCACCTCAGGCGCTGACAGCATCAGCATCCAAGGCTGCACTCTCCACCTCTCAAAGCCAGTCAGGAACCTCGGGTTCTGTTCGACCCTGAGCTGTCCTTTCTCCCTCATATCCGCGCCACAACTGGCACCGCCTTCCATCACCTCCGGAATGTCGCCAGACTACGGCACTACCTCACCCCTCACGCTGCTGAAACTCTGGTCCACGCCTTTATCACCTCAAGGCTGGACTATGGGAACTCTCTCCTCGCCGGCCTTCCCGCACCTCCCTCCACAAGCTGCAGGTCATTCAGAACTCTGCAGCTCGTGTACTGTCCCGCACCAGGCTTCGGGACCACATCACTCCCACCCTCGCTCGCCTCCACTGGCTCCCCATCCCCCAGAGGATCGATTTCAAGATCCTCATCCTCACCTACAAGGCCATTCACGGCCTTGCTCCCTCCTACCTCTCTGACCTACTATCCCCCTACCTACCTCCCTGTACCCTCCGTTCCTCTGGCTCCGGTCTGCTCCACATCCCCCGCCCCATCCATCAGTGGCCGGGCCTTCAGCCTCTCAGCCCCTAGGCTCTGGAACTCTATCCCCCAGTGCCTTCGCCTTGCCTCCTCCCTTTCCTCCTTCAAGGCCGGTCTCAAGACCTTTCTCTTTGACCGTGCCTTCAGCTCCCCTCTCGACTCTCTACCCCCTCCTCACTCCCTCCCTTCCCTCACCCTGACCATTTCTCCCCTGTTCGGGTCCTGACCCAACTGTACAGCTCCTTGGGACGTCCTCCCGATGTGAAAGGCGCTCTATAAATGGAATCTTGCTGTTGTTGTTGTTGTTGTTGAAAAGTGAATTCATTGTATATTTTGTGGGCGAAACGTGGCAGCCAATTGTGCACAGCAGTGTCCCACAAATAGTTGTGGATTGAGTGATCAATTTTTTTTATGTTTAAACCAAGAAATTTTAGTAACATCTGAGCTTGGTAATAGACAAACCAGCTCCCATTTTTGGCTTATGTTTGGAGATAATAGTTTGTTTGAAAACAAGAAATCAAATTACCCAAGACTGAAGTTAATCTTGTAAACAGATCGAGTGATTCATATCTCAGTCTAAATAAGGATTTTGTGCATCCAGCGGCTGCAGCTATGACTGTAGGATTCTGTATACTGAATGAGGTGTAGTTTACTCCAATGAGAGGTACAGGAAATTAATGTAATGCAGGCCTCTGCGTGCAGGAGATATGGGTTTGAAAGTGCACATCAGCTCCTCCATAAAATGCGAGCCAAGCAGCAAAGGTCAAATGGTGGGTTAGAAGTGGTTTGACTGAGCAAATGAGAGGAGGAACAGCACTAAGATTGCAAAACCAGCTGAGGGCAACAAAGAGAGGCAGCAGATTCACCAATCAGAGCATTGATAGTCACACTGCAGGATTTGCAGTTCTGGGTGGGCTTTCATTGCTGAGAAGTGGTGTTCACAGAAACATTGTGAAAAATGCTTCGGTTGCAGTCAGCCCCGGTGTATATTCTGATTGTTACACTCACTTGCAACTTACTCTACAGATGCCTGGCAGGTAAGAAGCGTATCCTTTTGTGAACACTGGCAGGATAGCTCTCTTTTTAATAGATAATAATCTTTGCATTTGATATTGTGCCTTATCGGGTCTTTGAGATGTCTCAAAGTGCTTCACAAGTTGGCGCTTCATGCCAACTCCCTGCTTGTCGGCCTTCCCTACTCTTCCCTCCACAAGCTGCAGATCACCCAGAACTCTGCAGCTCGTGTCCTCTCCCGCACCAGGCTCCGTGACCCTATCAACCCCACCCTCACCCGGCTCCACTGGCTCCCCATCCCCCAGGGGATAGAGTTCAAAATCCTCATCCTCACTTTCAAGGTTTTGTACCCCTGTGACCTGTTCATCCCATACCAAGCTGTCCGCTCCCTCCACTCAGCAGGCTCTATTCTGCTCCACGTTCCCCACCCAGTCTGCCCCACCATTGGCGGTCGGGTGTTCAGCTCCTCTGTCCCCATCCTTTGGAACTCCAGCCCACAGGCCCGTCGCTTTGTTCCGTGCCTTGTCTCCTTCTAAACACGTCTCAAGATTCTCCTCTTCAACCGAGCATTTGGCCACCCTCCTATCCTCCATGCTCTCCACACCCCTGAGCCCAACCACGTGCTCGGATCCAAATTTCCTTAGGACGTCCTGCCGATGTGAAAGGCACTATACAAATGTAATTTGTTGTTGTTTACCCCAGCCGGAGCTACTCCAATGCACTCACATCAGTATCTCATCCTCACGTGCCATGGTGTCATCAGGGGGCATTCACTGTGTAACGCAAGAGCACCGCGGGAATGTAAAATCTGTATTGTAGAGAAGGCAGCGTTATCTTGTAACCAAAGGGCATCCCAGAAATTTAGGTAAATCTGTCTGTCTCTCCATAAAGAGGAGAGCAGCAAAGAGTGGAATATCATCCAGTAAGTGAAGGATGGTAGAGCTAGGACGAGCCCAAAAGTGTGGAGGCAGAGGAGCTGGGATAAACAACTGCTTTCCAAATAAAGGCAGTAATAATAATAATCCTTGCATTTGATATAGCGCTTTTCACGTCGGGAGGACGTCCCAAAGCGCTTCACAGAATAGACTGTAAAGTGAATTGACTATATATTTGTGGGCAAAACGCGGCAGCCAATTGCACACAGCAGTGTCCCACAAACAGTCGTAGATTGAAAATGACCGATTTATTATTGTTTTTTTGAGGGATTATTATCAGGCGCGGTTTACTTTAAGCTACAGGACTCTGGATACAGAAGAGTTACGTTTTTTTGGTACGGGTTAAATTTTCATGAGATGAGTGTAAATATATATTTTATTTTTTATAAAATATGTATTTTATTTTTTCAACTCAGGAGGGGCGGGGGGTGGGGGGGGCTGTATTGTATGTTGTGTGGATTTGTGTGTGGAATACATACTTGTATCGTTTTCCAATGTGTACTTTTCAGTGCACTATAATTTGTCTTCCTTTGTGCTCCCATTCCGTGTGCTACATGATGGGAGGGGGAGGGGGAAGATGTTCTGCCTTCCATTTGCGTGGGGGAGGGGAGAGGAAGCTGACTACTTGCCTGTTATGACACAGTTAAGGAAGCAAGGTTGTCACTGGTCCAGATGTATTGAGCTCTTGGAAAAACTTCATTGTCTGCTCGGTGGATAGTGTTGGCCTTTTGAGCAAGATCAAGTGTAGTTGCGCTTGAGTTGTAGATATCTGTGCAGCAGATTGATAATGTGACGATGATCATGATGTTGTTAAGAACGAAGAAAGGAACTGGTACCTGCACTACTTTTTGTGGTTTGAGGGGCCAGAGTTTGTGTAGTGATGTGTGAGGGTCCTTGATGCCAGGGAAAGCACTTTTTTCTTGGGGATTTGACTAAACTTGGATTGTGGGGGGGAAGGGGGGACTTCTCCCTTCTGCATTCTCTCCCCTTCACATACACACTCACAATCACTGCCTGTTGTATTGTATTGTAGCTTGCTTTCAAAAGAAAAGGTCAGCCAGAGCTGCACAAAGTATCAGGTAATTGCACTAATATGAACCCAGTATTAAAGTCCAAAGGGTCGGGAGCTCTGGGTTAGTCCACCGAGAACAGGCCAGAAATGAAGGTTCAGAGTTCTTGACCTGTCTGACCATTTCTAGAAAAATCCCTGCGGCCAGAACCAGGCATTGTGTGTGTCGCGAGTGCTACTGTGTAGACAATGTGTTTAGCTGGAATTCTGCCACTTAAAGTAAACCAAACACCAAGAAACTCAGCTTGCTGGAAAACTAACACTTTAAACTGTTTCATATGTAGCCCCATCTGCTATGCCTAACATCCAACGTCTGATTAGAGGTGCATAAAATGGTGTAATAATCCTTGCATTTGATATAGCGTGCCTTATCATGTCATCAACAACAAAATTACATTTATAGAGCACCTTTCACGTCGGGAGGACATCCCATTGTCGAGATGTTCCGAAGCTTTAACAGAATATACTGAAAAGCGGATTGATTGCCTTTACCCATCTCCACAACATCGTTCAGCTCCGCCACTGACTCACACAGCAGACTGCCGAGACCCTCATATGTGCATTCATAACATCCAGGCTCGACTACACAAACTCCCTGCTTGTTGGCCTCCCCAACTCCTCCCTCAATAGGCTGCAGATCATCCAGAACTCTGCAGCCCGTGTCCTCTCCCGCACCAGGCTCTGTGACTCTTATCACCCTGACCTTCGTCCGACTCCACTGGCTTCCCATACACAGAGGATACAGTTCACGATCCTGGTCCTCAAGTTCAAAGTCCTCCATGGCCTTGCTCTGTGACCTCCTAACCCCCTACCTACCTGCCCACACGCACCCTCTGCTCACTGGGTTCCGGCCTGATTCACATCCCCGGCCTCACCCACCCCACTATTGGCAGGCGGGCCTTCAGCCACTCTACTCCCACCCTGTGGAATTCCATCCTGCAGTTCCTCTGCCACATCCCCTTCCTTGCCTCTCTCAAGACCCTCCTCTTTGGCACCCTCCCTTCCCCCGTGCCCCACACCCTCCTTTCCCCCCTGCCTCTCACACTCCCCGATCCCAACCTCCAGCTCCGGTTCAAAACACTGATTGTCCAGCGCCTTGGGACGTCCTCTCAACTTGAAAGATGCTATACAAATGTAATTTTGTTGTTGTTGTGAATAGGCAGGTGGTGCCTCAGTTTAACGTCTCATCCGAAGGACCACATCATCAGCAATGCAACCCCCAGTCTCAGCACTGCATTGTTTAGTCATGTTAGACAATGTGATTCCAAGTCCCAACTTGGGGATTTAACTCACAACCTTCTGACTCAGAGCCTAGAGTGCCACATTTCGTTCAGAAAATATAGTCAATTCACTTCACAGTATATTCTGTGAAGTGCTTTGAGACATCTCGACGATGTGATAAGGCGTTATATCAAATGCAAGTATTCTATTATATTAAATTTGGAATAAGCAGACAGTGCTGGGGAGACAAAGTAATTAACTTAACATCTGATAGAGGTGGGTTGGGTAGAGGGGAAATGCTGAACTTTGTGGAACTGGAACAATTAGTCACAGGATGTCGAAGCAGACGAGACAAAGAAAACAAAGTTGTTTAATCTACCATCTCTTTGAAATGTTGTTTTGAGCTTTACACTTCCGGCATTCACACTGCACAGTGTAGCTCTTTGTGGAATAGAGTGAAGGGTGTTGGAGTAACGAGATTTGTGTGGCTAGCCAACTTGAATGGCAGCAGCAGTCACAACTGATTCAACAACAACAAAATTACATTTGTATAGCGCCTTTCACGTCGGGAGGATATCCCAAGGCGCTGGACAGACCGAGTTTTGGACCCGAGCTGGGAATCGGGATTGGGGAAGGTGGAGGGCAGGGGGGGATGCCAGGGAGATCGAAAACACAGTCGAAGAGGAGGGTCTTGAGATGGGTCTTGAAGGAGGCAAGGGAGGTGGTGAGGCGGGGGTACTGCGGGACGGAGGCCTGCCCACCAATAGTGGGGCGAGCGAGGTGGAGGACTTGAAGCAGGCCGGAGCCCGCTGAGCGGAGGGAGCGAGCAGGATGGTAGGGGTTTAGAGGGTCACAGTAGTAGAGGGAGCAAGACCATGGAGGACTTTGAAGGTGAGGACCGGGATCTTGAACTGTATCCTCTGTGTGATGGGAAGCCAGTGGAGTTGGGCGAGGATGGGAATGACAGGGTCACAGAGCCTGGTGCAGGAGAAGATGCGGCTCCAGAGTTCTGGATGATCTGCAGCCTATGGAAAGAGGAATTGGGGAAGCCGACAAGTAATGAGTTTGCATAGTCAAGCCTCGATGTAATGAAAGCATGCATGTGGGTTTTGGCAGCCTGCGGTGTGAGACAGTGCTGACACAGTGGCGGAGCCAGGCAATGTTGCGGAGGTCGGGGAAAGCAGAGTGGGTCATGATGCAGATGTGGGGTAGAAAGGATAGTTGAGGGTCAAACAAAATGCCAAGTTTCTGGACTGGCTTAGCAAGGTGGAGGGTGCAACCATGGATGGTGATGCTGTCAGCGCCTGAGGTGAGGACTCGCTGACGGGAGACAATTAGGAGAGCCTCGGTTTTGTTCACGTTCAACTGAAGAAAATTAGCTCTCATCCAGGATTCAGTCTCCATTGCCGCAAAGTAGTTTATGTCCTTTTCAATTTTTGTTGACCCTTGTTGGCAGAGTTATCGAAGGAATACATTCAGTATTGCATGCAATGAAGGAAGGCGAGTCACAGACATGAAGATTGCTTATTCCCGATGAAACTAGTGTTCCAAATGAACTTAGTTAAACCAGTGTCTTGTCCAAGTAACCATTATTGCAGACCGAGTTTACTCGAGATCTCTGACTTCAGCCTTTTGCTCCTTGTACTTTCTATGCTCAATTAAATAAAGATGGCATTTCCATTAAACAAATTTGGCTTTATTTTTGTTACCAATTTCTCCACCTCTTTCTGCTTTTGGAGGCATTTTTCCTTCAAATAGAGTACACTTGAATATCCCAATAATTCACCCTTGCTGCTATAATTCAGATGGCTACCTCGACTGAATTATCAAGCTATTCAACCCACCATGGAGATTTATGTGTCAGCCTGGTTCAGTTGGCAGCACTTTCACCTCTGAGTCAGAAGTTTGTGGGTTTAATGCCCTCATCACAACTTGGAACCCATTGAAGCCGAGGTCGAAGATCCAATGCAGTAATGACAGAATGCTGCATTGTCTGAGGTGCTGTCTTTTGGATGAGATGTTAAACTGAAGCCTTGTTTGCTTGTTCAGATGGATGTTAAAGATCCCATGGCACTATTCAAAAAGAGAAGGGAATTTCTCCTGGCCAACAATGTCACAAATAAAGTTGTCACTCACTCCATGACTGTTTTTGGGACATTGCTGTTTGCAAATTAACCACTACGTTTGTGTACAAAACACACAGTCACTGCACTTTACAATATATACTGTGAAATATATACTTTGAGATGCTCAAAACTCTTTGCAGGATATACTGTAAAGTGATAAGTGGTTATACCAAATGCAAGTATTATTATTGCCTTAGTTGAAATCAATTCTGTCCCCATCTGAAGCTTATTCAGGTGTGCTTTCAGAAGGCGTTACTGAAGAGTGATCAGGAACTCTGGTTGATATCGCCTTGTAATCCAGAGTCCAAGTTAAGATAGTTCAGTTGTAACCACCTTACCTGAGATCAAAACAGCACAGATTCAGGATCAAACATGAGATCTTGGTGGTCTATATGGCTTAGCTACTAACCTTACTAAACCATCATGGAGCTCATTGATTAAATCTTTTAGCAGAGTGCCTAAGTCTACTTATACAAGATGCTGGACAGTAGTCTTCTTTCTTCTTACCTTTTTGCCATTTATTTTCAAGCTGATGTGGTTTCATATGAGGAACTGAGGAAGATGGTCGCAAATGGTAATATCCGGCTTTACGATGTTCGGGAGCCAGAGGAGGTTATGCTGGGGAAGATTCCCACATCTATCAACATTCCCTGTAAGAAGAATTCTGTCATCTATTAATATCACTGTTTTTAAATAATGGATAACATTTTCAAAATTAAAATAAGTTTTACTTTAAAGGTTTAGTAATTGTGCAGCTGCCTAACCCAGTCATCTTGTCTTTTTCATGTAGTGAACCAGCTCAAAACTTCTCTGTTGATGGACGATGAGATATTTAAGAAGAAGTACAAGTCAAATAAGCCACAGAAATGGGATACTAAAATTGTATTCTACTGTCGATCGGGCAAAAGAAGTGCCACTGCTTTAAAAACAGCTAAGATACTCGACTATTTACAGTAGGTATACTGCTTACTAATAATAATTTTTCTATTTGATATAGTGCCTTTCCTGTTGGGAGGATTATCAAACTGCTTCGCGTGATTTACTGTAAAGTGTAGTGGCTCTGCAGTTTGTAGGTGAACACAGTATGAAGTGAATAACCAATTTTTATTTGGGGTATTTTTGGCTAGGACACCAGGAGAAATGCCCTTCTCTCTTTTCAAGTAGTGCCATGGGAAGTTTAACATCCACCTGAACAGGTAGATGGGAACTTAGTTAACAACTCATCTGAACGACGGACCTCCAACAATACAGCTTGTCCCAGGTCTGCATTTGAGTGAGTGCCAACTTGACTATGTGAGTTCAAAGTCCTGACATGGGGTATGAACCCATATCATTTTGGCTGGGGCAAGACTGCTACTAACTGAGCCAGGCTGAACTACAAAAAAATGTGTTTTCCCTCCTCTAAATCAAGGAGCTAATATCCATACAACACATAAGGAGCAGAGGCTCAAGTGAATGGCATCAGAAAATCTGTGAATAATTTTCCAATCGATGGGAAAGTGCAACAGATGAGATGTTAAACTCGGGCACCTTCTACTTTTAGAAGTGGATATTAAAGATCCCATAGCGCTATTTTAAAAAAGGAGGGAGTTTCTCTTGTTGCCTTGGCTAACAATCCCCCAATAAAAATTGATCATTCACTTCATGACTGTTTTTAGGACATTGCTGTGCGCAATTTAGCTGATGAATCTGCCCACAAAATAAAGTCATTCCACTTTACAGTATATTTTGTGAAGTGATTTTGGACTGCCTCTGGACATGAAAGGTGCTATACCAAATGTAAGAATTATTAATTTATCCTGAGATGGGGGACACGTAATCATTGGTGATAGTAATGAGTTGCTACTGAGCTGTTTTTCTGCCCTCTGGAGGAAAGTTACCTATTGTCACATTAAACTCTGTAGAGGCAGAAATGAGTCTAAAGATTGATCAAGGTTCGTAGGATAAACCCTTTCATGCAGTTTGCCTCCTTGTAAAAATGAGCAATGCATCACATGATTCTAGTATGTGAACAATTGGACATACATACCCCCAAACCACTGGAGAGATGAGCATTTCTACTAATACTGTAGAGTTAAAAATATCACATGTACTGCAATCCACTAAGGTCCATGTAACCTAGAAAATGCTGTGACTAAAATCAGTTTACTCATCCCAGTCTGTGAATCATTCTCGAAACATTACTGCTCTGAAGGCTTTTACCACATCCCACCTGAGGCTGAATCATAGGGAGAGCTCCTGGATTTTCTGGTCTGAAAGAATGTATGAAATTGTTCCTTCACATTGAATGGGTGAACATAGTGTGAAGAATGTTGGAAATCCACATCAGGTCAATCTGCATTTAAAAGAGAAAAACTGTTAATAATCAATAATCTCCCAGGGAAGGATCAGATCTGAAATGCTAACCCCTATTTTTTTCTTTAAAATGTTGATTTGAGCTGCTGTGGATTTTCTGCATTTCAGTTTTCTTTTTCTTGCGTATGTTTGTAGATGTCTGTTTAAGTATGTAGATGTCTATACAAGGCTTGATTCCAGACCAGTGCAATTTCTGGAAAGAGAAATAGAAAGGAGAGAAAAACAGCGGATGAGTTTTGGAGAGCCCTAAGTTTTTTGGAGAGCCCTAGGTTCTATCATTAGCTTGGGATGTTTTAATTGATCTCAGATGAAGCTGAGCAGTTTGAACCACAGATGGATATTAACTTGGGTTTTTGCTTCTGATGCCTCCTGGAAATAAAAATGTGTGGAATGTCTTATGAGACATTTATTAAATTTAGGCTTGACTACGCCAACTCCCTGCTTGTCGGCCTTTATGATTTATTTAAAATTCAGTCAACTAATAAATGCTGTGCAATACATTGAACGTACATTATTTTTGCCGTGCAGCTTATCCAAAGCAACTGATCAATTTGCATTGATACATTGTCCATATTTTGTGCCTAGTGCTCGTCATTATGAAGGAGGCTACATGGAATGGGAAGATTGTGAATCTGCAAGATCTCACTGAGCTATCATTTTAAATTAGCAGAGTGAAACATCTACAGAGAACTGAGCGGATTCTGGTGCTATTAGATAATTCAGTTTGAATGAAAATATAGTCGTTTTGTAGAAACAAAATATTGTAGTAACAGTGTTTCTTGTACTTCAATTTCAATAAACTGCAGATTTTATGGGTGTTTTTCATTTATTGTTGGGTGAAGTGGAAGGATTGAGTTACTGAGTAGCCCTGATACAGTATGTTGTGGGATTATATCCTTTGTTCAGTTCCCAATGTAATTACACCTTTTAATCTTTGAAGCATCAGAGATTAATGACAACATTTATTTTACCTTGATCATTAATAACGCATCCAAACCCTGCTTAGCAAGTAAGAGAAATAGGATACATCAGACAGAACTGTCTTTTTGTTGTGGGCCATTTTTGTAGCCAATAAGGTCTTTTTGCTGAATGACGATTAGGGATGTTGTGCCTTTAATAAAGACCTGGGAAGTCACAATCTGGAACAAAAACAATGGTAGTTTTGCCTTTGCTGTAGGAATAATAAAATTCCTTGCATTTGACATAACATCTTATCACATTCTCGAGACCTCTCAAAGTGCTTCCCGGGAGTTTCCTGTATTTGTAGGTAAATGGGGCAGCCAGTTGCACACAGCAATATTCTATAAACAATCATGAAGCAGTGACCAATTTTATTCAGGAGATTGTTGACCAGGAAACTGAGAAACTCCCTTCGCTTTTCAAATAGTGCCATCTTTAACATCCATCTGAACAGCCAGACAGGAGCTCGGTTTAATGTCTCATTCAAATGAAGAGAATCCTTACAATGTTGGTGGTAATGACTTCACATTCCATCACTTCACATAGTTCAATCATTCTGTTTTTCTTTGCTGAAGAAATATCTTCTGCACATGGAAGCCCAGCAGCATGCTTAAGAGTCTCCAAGCCAAACTACTGCGAGTTCCACAGTAAAGTGAATTGACTGTATATTTTGTGGGCAAAATGGGGCAGCCAATTGCACACAGCAATGTCCCACAAACAGTTATGGATTGAATGAGCCAATTTATTATTTTATTTATTGAAGGAATTATTAATAAATTCAGAGTCCTGTAGCTCAGTGGTTAGAGCACTCGTTTTGCAAGCGAGAGACCTGAGTTCAATTCCAGGCAGGGCGAAACCTTGGGCAAGTTTCCTTACTCCACACACCTAATAATAATCCCTCCAAAACAAAAAACAATAATAAATTGGTTATATTCAATCTACTGTTTGTGGGACGTTGCTGTGCGCAATTGGCGGTCGCGTTCGCCCACAAATATACAGTCAATTCACTTTACAGTGTGTTCTGTGAAGCGCTTTGGGACATCCTCCCGACGTGAAAAGTGCTATATAAATGCAAGGATTATTATTATTATTACCCCTGGAAAAGTGATCTGCCAATCAACTAGGGTTCCTACTTACTGCTGGGTAAACATGGGCATGTAGAGTAAGGAAAATTGCCCAACATTTTGGCCTGCCCGGGAATCAAACCCAGGTCTATAATAATAATCCTTGCATTTGATATAGTGCTTTTCACATCTTCTAGACGTCTCAAAGAGCTTCACAGAATATATTTGAGTGAGTGAATTGACTGTATATTTGTGGGCGAAACGCGGCAGCACAGCAATGTCCCACAAACTGTCTTGGATTGACATGACCAATTTTATTATTGTTTTTTCTTGAGGGATTATTATCAGGCCTGTGGGGTCAGGAAACTTGCAGAAGGTTTCGTCCTGCAAGGGAGTCAAACCCAGGTTTCTTGGTTGCAAGGTGAGCGCTCTATCCACTGAGCTACAGGACTCGCGTGCGAGGCGAGTGCTCTAGGACTGAGCTACAGGTCTATAAGACACCAATGCAATTAGTTGTTGTTTCCACTCCTTAGGTGGTAAATTCCCACTCCCTGGCTGGTGAGTCCACTCTCCAGATGTTGCAATATTATTTTGTGCAAATGCTGTTGCCAGTGTCCTGGCATTTGCAGGTCCCAGTATCTGTGTGTGATTGACAGCTCCCACGTGACCGTGTGACCCTCCCCCCCGCCCGCGGCTGCGTTGAGTGTGACGTCACGGGCGCCATGGAAACGGGAAGCGGCGGGACTGCGCAGACGCGAGGGCCGGGCCGAGAGGAGCGCACATGAGGGTTAAACCCACCTGGAGCTGGTTCAAAAGTCATGGCGGACGAAGTGGGAGAAGAAGCCGCCACAATGAGCGAGGTGGTGAGCTTTTTGGAGGCTGAGTCGGAGGAGCCGCCCGTTTGGGGCCCGCCGGCGCCTTGACAACCAGGAGATGCCAAGATGCACAGCACTGCCCCTCCCGTCCCTCCCTCCCTCCCTGCCTGCTGGCCCTGCCCTGCTGACCCTGCCCTGCCTGCTGGTCCTGCCCTGCCCGCTGACCCTGCCCTGCCTGCTGGCCCTGCCCTGCCTGCTGGCCCTGCCCTGCCCGCTGACCCTGCCCGCTGACCCTGCCCTGCCCGCTGACCCTGCCCTGCCCGCTGACCCTGCCCTGCCCGCTGACCCTGCCCTGCCCGCTGACCCTGCCCTGCCCGCTGACCCTGCCCTGCCCGCTGACCCTGCCCTGCCCGCTGACCCTGCCCTGCCCGCTGACCCTGCCTTGCCCGCTGGCCCTGCCCTGCCCGCTGACCCTGCCCTGCCCGCTGGCCCTGCCCTGCCTGCTGGCCCTGCCCTGCCCGCTGACCCTGCCCGCTGACCCTGCCCTGCCCTGCTGACCCTGCCCTGCCCGCTGACCCTGCCCTGCCCGCTGGCCCTGCCCTGCCCTGCCCGCTGACCCTGCCCTGCCCGCTGACCCTGCCCTGCCCTGCTGACCCTGCCCTGCCCGCTGACCCTGCCCTGCCCGCTGACCCTGCCCTGCCCGCTGACCCTGCCCTGCCCGCTGACCCTGCCCTGCCCGCTGACCCTGCCCTGCCTGCTGGCCCTGCCCTGCCCACCTGGATCTGACCGTCTGCCCACCCACCTGGCCGCTTGGTGACCATTGAGTTATGCGGATATGTGGGGCTCAGGAGGCCCGGCTATCTTTTCTGAGGGTTATAACAAAATTATTCCTTGCATTTGACTTGGAGCCTCATCACGTCGCTGAGATGCCAAACAGCGCTTTTGCAGGATTCTACAGTGAAGTGCAGTAACCTTTTGCATGTCAATGAGGCAGGCAATTTACTCACAGCAACATCCTACAATCAATAACAACAAATTACATTTGTGAAGTGCCTTTCACATCGGGAGGATGTCCCAAGGCGCTAGACAGTCAGGGATTTACACCCAAGCTGGGATCAGGAGGGATGGAGTTCAGGAAGGGCAGGGGTAGGAGGGTAGCCAAACGGGCAGTTGGAGAGGAGAGTCTTGAGATGGGCCTTGAAGGCGAGGGAGACGAAGGGACTGTGGGATGGAGTTCCAAAGGGTGGGGGTAGAGAGGCCCAACCGTTGATGGTGGGGTGGGCCGTGTGGGGAAACAAGCAACAAAGTGAATGACCAATCTTATTTGCTGCATTGTTAGCCAGGAAACGGGGAAATTCCTTTCACTTTTCAGGTAATGCTATGGGATCCTCATGTCCATCTATATAGGCAGCGGAAGCTTGCAGGGCGGGGGAGAAGGGGAAGGGGAGTTATGGGGAGGAGGTGATTAGTAATGGAAAAGAGAAAGAGTATCTTGAGATCATCCTTGGCCTTGGAATAGAAGGACAAATTATGCAATATATTGTCTTCTTTCTTAATACCTTGTAACTGATTTATTAAGAATACACTTTTTACATTTATTTTAGCAGCAAAATGCAGAAGATTCGGCAGATCAGGCTGTAGCTGAACCTGGCATGGAGACTGCGGCTGACCCTGGCATGGAGACTGCAGCTGAACCTCGCATGGAGACTGCTGCTGAACCTGGCATGGAGGCTCCATCTGAACCTGGCATGGAGACTGCTGTTGAACCTGGCATGGAAGCTCCATCTGAACCACAGTTGGAGACAGCAGCTGAACCTGGCATGGGGTCTCCTGAACCTGGTATGGAGACTGCAGCTGAACCTGATCTGGTGGCTGAAACTGAACTTGATATGCAGATTGCAGCTGAACTCATTGAGACTGCAGCTGAACCTGATCTGGTGGCTGAAGCTGAACTTGACATGCAGATTGCAGCCGATCTCATTGAGACTGAAGCTGAACCTGATCTGGTGGCTGAAGCTGAACTTGACATGCAGATTGCAGCTGAACTCATTGAGACTGCAGCTGAACCTGATCTGGTGGTGGAACCTGAACTTGACATGCAGATTGCAGCTGAATTTAACATTGATGAACCTGGCACTGAGTACCCAGCTGCACTTGGCATTGCAGATGTAGCTGAGCCTGCCCTTGAAGATGATGCATTACCAAGCATTGAGTGGACAATTGAACAGAATTTACCTTCGAACGTTGATGCCATATTTAGTCAATTTCCTGATGATTTTCCGTCTGGAATAAAAATGTCAGTTAATAATTTAATTGATAATAATATCAACATGGCAATAGCACTTTCAAATGCTGAAAACATATTCAAAAATGTTTATGAAGACCCATATAATCGATCTGTGAATTACATGGAGAAACATAATATTCTACAAGTATTTCAGGTGAGTGTGATGTTCAATAGACAGGTGAGGTTACTGATCAGCAGAGGTTAGACATACTGCATCAGTAATGTAGGCTATAATAAAAACAAAAGTCATCGGGAACACTTAGCAGGTCAGGCAGCATCTATGGAGAGAGGAAAGTGAGTTAATATTTCAGGGCAATGACCTTTCGTCAGTAGTATGTTGGCTGTAATTCACTTTTCTCTCACTGATTGGCCTTCCCAACTCCTCCTCCACAGGCTGCAGATAATCCAGAATTCTACAACCCATGTCCTCTCCCGCACCAAACTCCGTGACCCCATCTCCCCCGACTCCATTGGCTCCCTATCCTTCAGAGGGTCCAGTTCCAGATCCTGGTCCTTACATACAAAGCCCTACAAGGCCTCGCCCCACCTATCTCCTAACCCCCTACCAAAACTGCCCATTCCCTCCGCTCAGCCGGCTCTGGCCTGCTCCACGTCCCCCTGACCCACCCGCCCCACCATTGACGGGAGAGCCTTCAGCCATTCTGCCCCCAACCTCTGGAATTCCATCCTCCAATCACTCCGCCTCGCCTTCTCCTTAGCCTCCTTCAAGTCCCGCCTCAAAACCCTCCTCTTCGACCATGCCATCGGCCACCCCGATGCCCCGAAATGCTGTACTCTGTCCAGCACCTTGGGACGTCCTCCCAACGTGAAAGGCGCTATACAAATGTAATCTTGTTGTTGTTGATACCTGTTTATTGTTGCATGGTTCTGCATGGAAAGTGAGAATTTAGTTAAATTCTTTGCACTTTACTGGTGCATTTTCCCTGTCTTCATTATGCACAACAGCAAAGATATCCAAGATTTTATAATCTCCCAAGGATATAACATTGATAATATTTACACATCTAAGATGTCCATAAAAACAACTGGGAATTATTTAAAAGCCCACTGGAATGGATATTTCACACAGAAGGTTTATGAATTTGCTTGGGAATAATTCTGTCACAAATTAATTATGTTTTGTAACAAGCTTTGACAGTCTAAACTGTCTCTTTTCGACTTTTTTTTATTCGCTTATGTTCTAGTCATATCGGTCTATTCTTCTGGAGTGCAAGAGTGATATGTTCTTGACCCAATGGTATCCAACTCTACCTCTCCATCTCTGACTCGGTTTTCTGGATAGTTGCTGTTATGACTTTTGAAAGTATTTGATAAGGTGCTGTATAGGAGGGAGGCTTGTTGAAAACCTGTGAACAACACTTAATTTTGCAGAATGTAGTCATAGGCAGTCAGGAGAATGTTTGTGTTTATAAAAAAAAGTCACATTGATATTGAATTTGGTTAATAAAGAAACAAATAGAAGAACCGCAGTGTATTAATGCTTCCTAAATAATAACAAAAAGTAAAGGTGAAATATCACGGCACGTAAATAAGAACTTCTTGGTAACCTACGTGGGCAAGCAAATAAGTGATATGCATTGGAAGAATATCAATTGATATATAAAGAAATATAATTCCCTGATCTCAGTCTTTTTGTATCTGTCTGAGATCAGCACATTTTCTAAAATATATAATGCAATTTAATAATGGAAATACTACAAACAGTTAAATAGAAAAGACTATTCACCAGATGTTTTAGTTTAAAAAAAATTAAAAACCCTTTTATTTGACAGAAAATAACCGAAGGTCTGGTGTTTGAAAGACCGAATGATCCTCTTCAGTTCATGTTAAATCAGGTAGCTATATTAACAAATTATTAATAATTATGTTTTGTTTAAGTATTTTTAGTGGCTCCTTGAGAGTGCAATGGATAAATACAACAATTGCAATACAATAGAATTTACATAGCATCTTTCACTTCGGGAGGATGTCTCAAAGTAAATCAGAATGCTGGTTGGGCACCTGAGGTAGAAGTGGGAAAGGGTGGGGAGGGGAAAGATGACTGAAAGTGCGGTCAAAAAGCTACATTAGAGGAGTGCTTTGAACATGGGGAGGGAGGGAGTTGGAGGGACTGCATGTTGGGGACAGAATGGATGAATGGCTCATTCACTTATGGTGAGGTTGATAAGGTAGAGAACAATGGAGCAGGCAGCGTTTGCTGAGCGAAGGGAATAGAAGGCTTATGGGAGGTCATAGAAGTATGGTAGGATGAGGCGGTCGCGGAATTATAGGTTTGTATAGAGAAAAACTATGTGGATTCAATCCTGATCAACATACAACAAGAAGATTACATTTGTATAGCGCCTTTCACGTCAGGAGGACGTCCCAAGGCACTGGGCAGCATACAGCATTTCAGACCCAAGCTGGAGTCAGTGGGGGAGAAGGGAGGGGAAGGGGGGTAGCCGATGGCATGGTCGAAGAGGAGGGTCTTGAGGCGGGACTTGAAGGAGGCTAAGGAGGGGGTGAGACAGAGTGATTGGGGGATGGAATTTCAGAGGTTGGGGGCAGAGTGGCTGAAGGCTCTCCTGCCATTGGTGAGGCGTGTGGGTCGGGGGACGTGGAGCAGGCCGGAGCCGGCTGAGTGGAGGGAGCGGGCGGGTTGGTAGGGGGTTAGGAGGTCCCAGACGTAGGGTGGGGCGAGGCCATGGAGGGCTTTGTAGGTGAGGATCGGGATCTTGAACTGGATCCTCTGAAGTATAGGGAGCCAATGGAGTCGGGCGAGAATGGGGGAGATGGGGTCACGGAGTTTGGTGCGGGAGAGGACACGGGCTGCAGAGTTCTGGATTATCTGCAGCCTGTGGAGGGAGGAGTTGGGAAGGCCGACAAGAAGGGCGTTTGAATAGTCGAGCCTGGAGGTGATGAAGGCATGAACAAGAGTTTCAGTGGCCTGAGGGGTGAGGTAGTGGGGGAGTCGGGCAATGTTACGAGGTGAGGGAAGGCAGAGCGGGTCATGGCTTAGATGTGGGGAAGAAGACAGTTGAGGGTCGAACAAGACACCTCGGTTCCTGACTGGCGGTGAGTTGAAGTGTGCAACCATGGAGGTTGATGCTCCCAGAGCCTGAGGTGCAGAGGCGCTGGTGCAGGCCAATCAGGAGGGCCTATTCAGTAGAAGGGGGAATTTGGGGGAGTAAAAAGGACTGATCATACTAATTTCAATCCTTTCATTTCAGAAACAGAGCCAAACACAGTCACTACATTTTATACTATATTTTATGAAACACTTTGAGACAGCTTCCTGATGTGATGTGAGGATTATTATTAAGGGTAATTATTATTAGAACTATGATAAAAGAAAAGACTGGCTTCATTCCACATACCTTATGATTGCTGCTTTTGAGTTTAGTTTCATTTGAGTTTTGATCCATAAATCTGAACAATTTTGACTAAGTTTAAGTCCTTGCCCATGATTTTCAATGTAGAGAAAGGTGAATTGATTCACTTTGGTAGGAGGAATAAAGCAGCTGTTAATACCTTAGATCAGGAATGGCCAACTTGCAGCCCACAGGCCTTTTTACACACGCATAATGCAGGTATGTAGTGTACAGGAGGTTATGGCACTTCTTGCATATAGTGTGCTTGCATGCAAAAAATGGTACCAATGGTGACTTGGAAGTCAGTCATTTTTTCTTCATTTTAACACAGGGCTCTGATATATGGACACAGACCACTACATTATAATAGGATTCCCTGAAATAGGATTACACTTTTTCACATAAGGAGTACGTCTCAAAATGCTTCAGGGAATTTATTGTAAAATGTATTACTATATTTTGTTGGCGAACAGAAAGGTTATAATAATAATATTCCTTGCATTTTGATATAGTGCTTTTCATGTCTTTTTGACGTCTCAAAGCGCTTCACAGAATAGATTGTAAAGTGAATTATGCATAATAAGGTCAGATAAACCTCACTTTTTTGACATTTCTCTTTTATAACAGGTGCAGTTGATGATTGCGTTACGTGACAATGTCTGTGCTGCTGGCGAAGAGCTTGTATTGGAAACTCTCAACATTGAAAAGAGTATTGAGAACTGATTAGTGGTCCGATTTTTAATCATTTTCTCTTGCTTCTTTTAATATCATGAGCAATGTAATGTGTGAAGAGAAAACACAGCGAATAATGATTACTCTAAATTCAGTGGCTGGATAATAAATGATTTCACAGCAAAAAAANTACTCGGAATGACTGCAATCTGGAAAACGCCAAAAAAAAATTGACTTTGGTTGTTCAGGCTGGTGTAGTGTTTACAACATCAACAACAAGATTACATTTGTATAGCGCGTTTCACGTCGGGGGACTTCCTAAGGCGCTAAATATTTAAAATATTTTCTGAAAGAATATTTTTGGGAAGGTGTGTTTATGTTTGCAATTGGTGGATTTTTCTGCCTTTTAGCTTGTTTACTCTATAGCATTCCATACATGACCGGTATTTCCTTTCAATGTATTTCTCAGTCAATCAGCCAGCAGACTGACTGAGGCGTACAAACATGGAGTGAAGAACATTATTTTCCTTGTAATTGAAGTTTCGCAAAATAGCTGTCTGAAGACATAGTAAAAGTTGTTGGACATAGGGTGGAATGTCAAAGACTACAAACCTGAAACTACTTGAAGTAACTGAATTACTCTTTGCCTCTGGCCTGATATTTGGACTGTATGCAAATAGGATTGAAATTTGGTTGACAAAAGTAGTTTAATAATGGCACATATGATGCGTGGAATCCTGTAGCTCAGTGGTTAGAGCACTCGCTTCGCAAGTGAGACCTGGGTTCGAATCCCGGCAGGGCGAAACGTTGGGCAAGTTTCCTTACTTCATACGCCTGATAATAATGCTTCAAAAAAANCAATAAAATTGGTCACTTCAATCCATGACTGTTTGTGGGACACTGTTGTACGCAATTGGCTGCTGCGTTTCACCCACAAATATAGTCAATTCACTTTACAGTCTATTCCGTAAAGCGCTTTGAGACGTCTAGAAGACGTAAAAAAGCACTATATCAAATGCAAGGATTATTACTATGATTGTAACAAGTAATGACTTCCATATAACCTTTTGTATTTAACAAGCAAAAATTAAATTTAAAAGATTTTACACAGCAAGCTTTTTAAAGTTATTTTCATAACCACTTAGATATTTCAGCAACTGAGTATTTTTTTTAAAAAGGCAACATTTTGGAAAAACCTAAGTGCCACGGCCCATAGTACAGAAGACTATTGGGAAGAGATGTTAAACCTAGGTCCCATCTGCAATAATATGCAATCTAAAGTATGGGTATGATTGTACGGTTCATTATTCTCTACTCAAAGCATTCCAATCCACTTACCACAGCCACACCATTTGTTCCACTCCCAGTGTGTCCTTTTACAACAACAATTTGCACTTATATAGCACCCTCCACCAGGGTAGCGTCTCAGAGCGTTTAACAGTGGTGGAGACTGACTCCGAGCCGGGTGGGGAGGGGGCCGTAAGCACAGTCGAAAAGGAAAGTTTTCAGGCGGGACTTGAAAGAGGAGATAGAGAGGGCAAGGCGGAGGGATTGAGGGAGAGTGTTCCAGAGTTTTGGGGTGTAGTGGCTGAAAGCACGACCTCCGATGGTGGGGCGGGGTATGTGAGGGACGAGCAAGTGGCCGGTGCCAGTCGAGCGGAGGCGTCGGGTGGTGGATTGGGTAATGAGGAGGTCAGAGATGTAGGGAGGAACCCGGGAGTGAATGGATTTGAACACGAGTGTGAGGATCTTGAAATCGATCCGTTCGGTGATGTGGAGGCAGTGGATCCTGGCCATAACTGGGGAGATGTGAGTACAGAGTTTGGTCCAGGTCAGTATGCGGGCGGCAGAGTTTTGAATGAGCTGGATCTTGTGAATGGTATAGCTGGGGAGACTGGCGAGGTTTTCGGCTGCATTTGGGGTAAGGTACGATCGGAGGCGGGGAATGTGGCGGAGTTGGAAGAAAGCGGTCTTGGTCAGTGATTAAATGTGGGGGAGGAAGGACAGCTGGGGGTCGAATTACCAATTAACCTTGGTAGTTGTCAAATCTCTCTTCCGGATGTTCTGTTCCAGTGCGTGTTCTCTGCCTTTCATTTGGTCTCCTATTTTTGCTTTTCTCTTAAGTTAGATTTTTCTTAATTTTTTCGTGTCATCCATTACTCCTTTTATCCCTTGATATTCTTCTGTATTGGTTTCTTTTATTGTCTTCTAACCAATAGGATATTGGGTGTTTATCGGTTTTCAATATCTTCCCTCTTGTCCATCCTTATTTCTTAACCTTCCTTTTTTCTGAACCATATATTCGTTGTTTGGTTCAAAACACTTTTCTTTCTTCTTTTTGTCTTTCATTTCTGTTCCCCCTTCATGGAGTCCTGTAGCTCAGTGGTTAGAGCGCTCATCTCGCAAGTGAGGGACCTGGGTTTGATTCCCAGCAGGGCGACATATTGGGCAAGTTATTCCACATGTCTATGTTTACCTAACAGTATGTAGGAACCTGGTTGTTAGTCGATTGGCAGATTGCTTTTCCAGGGGTAATAATTCCTTCAAAAAAAACTACTGATAATAAATTAAGAAAATGTCACTTCAATCCACGACTCTTTGTGGGACACTGCTGTGCGCAATTGGCTGCCGCGTTTTGCCCACAAAATACATTCAGTCTATTCACTTTACAGTATATTCTGTGAAGTGCTTTGAGACGTCTCGAAGATGTGGTAAGGCACTATATCCAATGCAAGGATTATTATTATGATTGCAGTTGTAGTTTTAGCCTTTAGCTTTGTATATTGATTGGTTCAGAAATGTTTATGACGTTAGTATTTGTGCTGGGGAGTACTTGTTTCCTAATGACATGTTCTGTACACTAGAATTGCTGGGTTTTTGTCTTTGGGGTTTTCTGTTTTTTTTCCCCACGTTTTCTTAATTGTTCTCTCCACCATGTTGCCCTGTTGATATTTCAGGGATGCTGTCCTGTGCCCCAAGCTCTTTCTGAATTTTTATATGTCACTCACAAATTGTAGTCCATTGGCACTTATTTCTGATATTCCATGACTCGCAAAAAAATCTCCTTAATTTTATTATTGTTTCCGCAGTCACATCATGTAATTCTGCATTTTCAAGATAATGCAGCATATAGCCTATTATTAAGAGATAGTCCATTTGTTTGTAATAGAACAAATCCATTTTTACTTTTGTTTGTTGATGCCAGGCCAAAACATACCTCTCTTGCTCTTTGCTTGGCTCTTTCCATTTCCCAATGTCCCTCATGAATGTTCATCAAAAATTTCATTCTCAATTCCTTTGGTAGTATTATTATCTCCCTGATATTATTCCTTTTTGTTGATATAATTTGTGTCTTTGTTCCAATATGGTCTAAATACCTCTGTAGCACCCTTCTTGTTTTCAGGCATGAAATGGCAGCACTTCCATCTCTTCTGGTGGCTTCCTTTATTTCTTTTTCTTATTTTGTTGCTTTTGTTGTATCCCACACATTATACTCCATTTATTTTTATCGTCGTTTTTCTTCTTCATTTCCTTCTTAACCCTCACTCCATCCGTTACATAAAGTGTTTGTTTCTTTTGGTTTCTATTTGAATTCCAGCTCATATTTTTTGTGTTGTATATGCATTTGTTGTCTCTGAGGCATTTCGTTCAGTCCTTTTTTTTAATAAAAATTGCTTCTAAGGGCTTGATCATTCTCCGCTGTTATCTTCTTTCCAAATACATATTGTTTGAATCACTTGCATCCTTCATGAAGCCCATCACCTGCTCCCATCCCCATCCCTCTCCTTAAATCCCAGCTCCACCTCCTTGCCCCACTACTCGCCGACATTATTAAACTCTCCCTGTCATCTGGCACTGTTCCTTCCCCCCTCAAAACAGCCCCCACCTTGAAGAAACCTTCTCTTGACCCATCACAGCTCTCTAGCGACCGGCCCATCTCAAATCTCCACTTCCTATCCAAGGTCCTTGAGAGAGCCATTGCCTCCCAGCTTCGCTCTTTCCTCTCCTCCCACTCCCTCCAATTGGATTTCCGTGCTGGCCACAGCAAATGTAATCTTGTTGTTGTTGTTGTTGATTGGTTCAGGTCCTAGCTTTCATACCGCCTCCACTTAGTCGCGGCAAACGGCTTCTCCTCCAGCCCCTGCACTGTCTCGTGTGGTGTTCCTCAGGGCTCTGTCCTCAGTCCCCTCCTCTTCACCTCTACATACTCCCCCTTGGTGACATCATCCACAGACATGGGGTAAATTTCCACATGTATGCGGATGACACCCAACTGTACCCGTCTGCCTCCACCCTGAGCTTCAGGACTACTGGCGTCCTGACCCACTGCCTGTCCGACATCGAGTCCTGGACGAGGGCCAACTTTCTCCATCTCAACGTCAGATTGAATTCAAGATCGTCGTCCTCATTTTCAAGGCCATCCATGGCCCTTGCCCCCTCCTACCTCTCTGATCTGCTGACTTCCTACCAACCTGCCCGCTCCCTCCGTTCAGCGGGCTCCAGCCTGCTCCATGTCTCCCGCCCGACCCACCCTACCATCAGTGGCCGGGCTTTCAGCCTCTCTGCCCCCACACTCTGGAACTCCATCCCACAGTCCCTTCGCCTCGCTTCCTCCCTGTGCCTCCTTCAAGGCCGGTCTCAAGACCCTCCTCTTCGATTGTGCCTTTGGTCGCCCTCCTACCTGTCTGCCTTCCCCCACCCCTACACCACCCCTCCCCCATCCTCGGGCCCTGACACCTGACTGTTCAGCACTTTGGGAAGTCCTCCCGACATGAAAGGCGCTCTATAAATGTAATTTTGTTATTGTTAACACATTTTCTATCTGTGCGTATTTATTTTGAATCTTCGATAATGCTTGTGATGCAAATAAGCTATTACATTTAATTGCATATCCTAGGTATTTGATCTCTGTTACTCCTATTTTGCACTTCTCTGTTTAGTTTTACATTTTCATCTAAGCACTTCCTTTGTACTTTTTCCAGACATTTGTCATACTCCTCTCTTGTCCTTCTAAATATTAATACATTATCTATGTAATTTATGCCTGGTAACCTTTCCAGTATGCTCATTTCTTCTGGAATATCTCCAGATGGCATTCTCCGACAATAATATCTACCAAACAGTGTTAAGCACATTGTTGCAGTGTTAATAGTTCTTTGTAAGAGTTTGTATTCTATTAAAACAGTTCTGTTTTGAAACCTGTTTGATCGTGCCATTCATTGCATAGTACATGTTTTCTGCATATAAGGTACACTATTGCATATAGAAAGAATGGGCTACCATAGCTTTAATATGTATAGGTTAAACAA